ATACCAACCAGTTGCACCTATGAATTTGTTTGCTTGTGATAAAGTTTTGGGCTCTGGAATATCAAGAATCGCTTCAATTTTTTCATTTCGGGGAGTGATAGTGTCTTTAGTTATTGTATGACCAAGATAGTCTATTTTTTGAACAGCAATCACACATTTCGGTGGACTTAACACAATCTGTTTATCATTTAGTGTACTAAATACTTGTTGTAAATGATTTAAATGTTCTTCAAATGTGTGTGAAAAGACGATTATATCATCCACATATACCAGAGAAAATGATCGACAATGTTTCAGTGTGCTGTTCATAACTTTTTGAAACGTTGGGGGGGAATTCTTTAGACCCATTGGTAAAACATTGAATTGATAATGACCAAATGGTGTCACGAACGCAGTTTTTTCTTTGTCGGCCTCTCTGATTGGGATTTGATAGAATATCAAATAGAATCCTGATTTCAAATCAAGTTTGGAAAAATAATTGTATCGTTTTCCCAATTTTCTGATAGTTTCTTCCATATTCGGCATTGGTGATGAATCTTTGATTGTTACACGATTTAACTTTTTATAATCAACTACTAATCTCTTTTTTCCATCGCCTTTATCAACTAGCATGACTGATGCTGCATATGGAGAGGATGATTCAGTGATCAAACCAGCTTTTAGAAATTCTTGAATTATATTATATAGTGCTTCTTCATGTCTTGGTTGTGGATGCGGTCGACATGCTGGTGGTGAATGTGGCATTATGTTTATTATATGACTGATCGATGTTTTTGCAATGTTGTGTTTTGTGGTGTCAAAGATTGCTTGAAAGCGATATAGTAACGGTAGTAATTCATCATGTTGTTGTTGGCTTTCCGCATTTTTTATTAAGTCTTTGATTTCTTTTTCGACGGATGGATTTATTGATTGAATTGAATTTAGTGCATTATTCCTACCTGCCAACTCGCTCTTTCGAGCTGTAGTAGCACAATTCACAACGGGTGACTCACTCTTTCTAACTGTACCAACATTTTCTCCACATAGACACCAGGTCGTTGATTTATGATTGTGATTCTTCTGACTACAATCTGGATAACATACCATGTAGCCAATGCAACTTCCTTTCGAAACGAATTTTGGATATGATGAGTTATTAGTCACAGTTAACGATGACGTATATGAGTTAAATTCAAGTAGTGTGTGTGCAAGGAATAAACACGAATTTTGAACAAAAAATGAATTAGGTATAAATGAAGAAGTAATCGAAGAAATAGAAACAGATACCTTAACCAAATTATTTGAATTAGAGTTAAGTTTTACAGGTTTCGTTAACGTAACAGGGAAAATTTGTTTATCA